CACAGGAAGCCTTCTCTTAAAAAAAAAAAAAAAACTGGGTGGGGTGGGGGACAACAGAAATCTGGAGTGCCAGCCAGCTGAGGCCAGAGATAGAGTGGCAAGCTAAGAAGAGGTGGGGGAGGGGGGGCAGGAATAACTGGGGCAGGGAGGGAAGGGACTATTGGCAGCGCAGGCGCCATCAGGGCTTGGCGTGCGCTTGCGGGTGCGCCTGTGAGTTGTGGGGTGTTGGGAGATGGTGGTTGGTGTGTCTCCCGGGCCAGGAGAGGATGTGAGAACAGTTTGTTCCCAGGTTCCCTCCTCCCGGCTTGGCCCGGGCTGGTGGGGGGAGGGCAGGGCTGGAGGATGGGGCCCCGAGGAGGGTGCAGAGTGAGGATGTCTGAGTAGCTGGGAGGGCCTGATTCTCCACTGGATAGATGCAAACCCTTTCGGGAGACATTTTTAGGGGGCAGGGGTGCGGAGAGGGCCAGAGTTGAACTCATACACAAAGAGGCCAAGGACAGCTAGTTGTGGGGGGTGAAGTCCTGTTCAGAGAAGCGGTGTTCCCTCGGGAAGTGGGTTCTTGGGATCTTCCCGTGGAATTCCTGAGTCTGAAATCAGTTTGCCTCAGTGTCCACAGACGGAGTTTTAAATTGCCCCCACCTTGCCTCCAGGAGGGCCACAGAGAACCTGATCCTGGCCGTGGTCTCAGGAGTGTGTTGGTGACATTTCCCTTGTGGATGCAGAGGGAGCTTCATCACGTAATTCCTACCTCTGACCCCTAGAGGCCTGGGGCTGGTCTCCACTGCAAGCCACTCCTGGACTGATGGCAGAGGGAAGTCCATGCATGCCACAGTGGGGCTCAGTGGGCGGGGCAGAGTAAGCAAATGAGGTGGAGATGAAGAGGTGTGGCTTGCAGCAGGTGGGGCCCTTATGGGGTAGGAACTTTGATTTTTGAGTCCCACAGATTAGGATAGTTTTATTTTACCTGAAATCCTGTGTTTTTGTTGGTTTTGAGACAGGGTCTACATGGCCCTGGCTGTCCTGGAACTCCAGTAGACCAGGCTGGCCTCAAACTCAGAGATCGGGGTGCCTCTGCCTGCCAAGGGCTGGGATTAAAGATATGTTCCACCATCTCCTGGCTGTTTTTGTTTTTTTTTTTTTTTTTTTTTTTTTTTTTTTTTTTTTTTTTTCTTAAAACATCAGAAAAAGGAATAGGGTCCCTTGGGTCTGGAGTTGTGAGCTGCCATGTGGCAGCTGGACATTAGTGCTCCTCTGGAAGAGTAGCTGGTGCTCTTAACCACTGAGCTACTTCTAGTCCAGAAGTTTTGTTTGTTTGTTTGTTTTTTAAAAAGGATTATTACCACTTATCTTGGGGATAGCTTGCTATAGAGCTGAGGATGACTGTGAATTCCTGATGCCCCCTCCCTTCAAGAGCTGGGATTACAGGTGTGCGCCAACACCACCAGCTTTTTCCGCTTCTGGGGAGG